AAGCTTAATACATTTAGAATTTTATCAAATATTTTGTATGATGAAATGATTGTATATATAGAAATATATAATTAGTAATAATACAGTGAATTATATTAATTCATTTTCAAATGTTGAATCAATTTTGCATTCCTGGAATGATTTGAATTTGATAGTGATTCATTAACTTGAAAACACTGTTGGATTTTTAGTAGCTAATATTGTAGATTTCTTATGATTTTGCACCTGTGTTTTTGAATGACCATGGGTATCAATTACCATTTCTAACATCATTAGTCTGGTTGTGGTATACATATTACATTAACCTTGTGATTGGAAAGTGCTTTTTCTTATCTATTCCCTGAAAGATTTCTGTGAGATTTAATTTTTTTTCCCCTGAATGTTTGGCAGAAATTACCTATAAAACTCTCAGTACCCACGTTCCTATGCTCTAGGATCTCTGGAACCTTGAATGTCTTTTGGGTTCCTCTTGGTTTCTCAATGACCCTTGCCTGCTACACACTCAGCCTAACAAGGATCCATCATAGAAGAGTTTATGAAGGCAGGTATGGATCAAAGGGCTCCTCCTTCAGAGAACATAGGAGTTAGCAAAGACCATGATATCCTGCAAGAGGAAACCGATGTCAGTGGAAAAGTGAGTCATCTCCCTGAAGAAAGACAGGATGGCTGCTGTGATTTCCAAGAGAGAAAATGCTGTTTTCTCATACAAAGCAATCCCTGTCACTCCTCTGGAGAATGTAGCTGTTGCTGCCAGCAAAAAGGCATCATTTTAATTTTGGTACTCTAACAAACTTATTTTTTTTATGAAATGAAGGCAATGAAAAATGTATAAAACATCATATTCAAACCATACTTCTTCACTTACATTTTATATGTTCCCTTTAAGAAACTTTAAATACATAATAGAAAAGATGAACACATTTTGGGAGGCCGAAGTGAGTGGATCACCTGAGGTCAGGAGAGACCAATCTCGCCACCGTGGTGAAATTCCGTCTCTACTAAAAATACAAAAATTTTGTATTGTGTTGTGCTCCTGTAATCCCAGCTACTCAGGGGGCTGAGGCAGGAGAATCACTTGAACCTGGGAAGTGGAGATTGTGGTGAACCAGGGTTCACCAGCCTGGGCAAGGGAGTAAAACTCTGTCTCAAATAAAAAAAGTGGGATAGGGTGTTATACCCATATTGTAAGTAAGAATGTGGGAGGGTAAGAAAGAAAGGAACTAGATCCAAGATTCATAGCAAATTCTTTGGTAGTGGTCACATTATAGATTTCTGCTCTCCCTGCAGCTGGCTGTGTCCTGTCATCTCACTATGGACAATTTTAAAGCCGATTCATTCTATATGGACTTCGTATTTGACATTTTTTCTGTATCAGATATTGCAGCAAAACTTTTCTGCTATTCAAAACCACCTACAAAACCTAGTCTGTGCATCTAGGAGTTCTGATATTTCAGAGATCTAGTGCTGAGGTGAGTCTTATAATGTCTTGGGGGAAAGCAAGAAGTTTGATAATTGCTGTCAGCTTTCTAATTTCCTGTCTTAGAAATTGAGAATACAGATTTGTCTGGGATTTTTGCCCATGTTAAGTTTGTAAAATCCTTTTCTTTCTTGCTTTCATTTTTGATATTACTTTTGCTCAAGATGAATCTGTTGTAAACAGTACTAATTTTTTAACCATAAGTTCAGAGGTTTTATTTAAACTATTTTAAAAATGTATTATAAATAATTTCACATATAAAGTGAAATAAAACAAATACTAATATATTAAATAGCCATCTAAATAAATTAAATATCATAATATAAAAAGAGAAATTGAAGAGTACTGAATTATGCTCTAATTGACACTAAAATAAAGATAACTAAATAAAAAATTCACAATGACCTTTGCAAGTATGGCAAACAGACAGTGGGAAATAAGTCACTTTAGTTTCCAGCCCAGATTAAAGGGTCACAGAACACTGAAATTCACTGTGGTCATTAAATAGCTGCAAATTACGGCTCTTCAAGGAAAGCACACATCAAAGGCATCTTCTCATGTTTTTTGAAAAATGCCGGTTTATGAACTATTGTTAGCATTAAATGGCAAGTCAGTGTAGGTCACAGCAAGGTACAGAACTATAAAACCTCAAGTAGCAGTTTTCTAGTTGATGTTTTGATAATACTTGACAGTTACCTTATGGATTGAGGCTTCAAGCAGCTTTTATGCTTACATAGATTTTAAAAGGAGGTTATGGAGAGAGCATATATGACTGTGACATTCATACTGAATATATATCAGAAACATAGAGACACCCAAAGCTCTTGTCATAGGGCACACAGAGAACATGCATCAAAGGGCCTTACTTACATCCATGCAAAAAGTCCAGCTATTTTTTAAGTGTATGCTTAAAGGCAGGTTCCAAGGCTAATAGCACTTCAAAAGGCACTAACATTTTGCCTTCCTATTGCGTTTTCCTTTGCCATGGAAAATGGAACCTAGCTTCAAATTAATTTATTTTTCTACTTTATTTATGATACCTTCCCTTAAATTTTGAAGGTCTTTTGCCTATAATATCAGTCTTAGCATGATTCCCAGCACGATCTTTATGCAACTAGGTTTCTGGTTGGTTTTAGTTGCTATACTTTTAAAACCCCAGGAATTTTAAAAGAAATACTTGGTACTTAATGAAAAAAACAAAGGGAACTCTTTTTGTCCAAAATTGTCCTCATATATCTCTCTGCCATTACTCTCAATACTGTTGAAACCATTCCCCACGTCACCTTAAATATGGATTTGATTCTGTTACTTTAAAAAAAAAAAAAACCAAACTAATATTTACTATCATAATATAAAGTATCCATTGATTAATTTTTATTTAAACCACTTCCTTGAGATATGATTGACATACACAAAGCTGCACATTTTTAATCTGTAGGCCTCAATGAGTTTGGAGACAAGTGTATACCCATGGAACCATTACCACAATCTATGTTATAAACCTGTCAATCACCTCCAAAAGTTGCCTCTCATCCTCTTATTTATATTTAATGTTAAGGATGCTTGATATAAACAACTACCCTCTCAGAAATGTTTTAAGTATACAAAACAGTATTATTAACAATAGCCACCGTGCTGTACTGGAGATCTCTAGGTCTTACTCATCTCATATAAGAAACTTTGTATCATTCAAGTAATATCTCCTTGTGTCCCTCTCTCCCTTGCCCCTGGCAACCACCATTTCACCCTATTTCGACGGGTTTGACTATGTTAGCTTCATCACGTAAGTGGTATCATGTAATATTTATCCTTTTGTGTCTCCCTTTTTTCACTTGGCACAATGTCCTCCAGGTTCATCTATGTTGTCATAAATGGTAGAATTTACTTATTTGTCAAAGCTGAATAATTTTCATGGCAGGTATATGCCATATTTTCTATATATATTCATGCAACTGTGAGCAGGTAGGTTGCTTACATTCATTTCTTTGGTGATCAAAGCCTCACATGATCAGATTATAAAATTTAGTTGCCCTTCTGTTTCCATGGGTTCTGCATCTATGGATTCAACCAAGAGTGGATAAAAAGTATTTGGGAAAAGGATAGTCACATCTAAATTGAACATTATTTTTCTTCTTTTTCTTTTTTTTTTTTTGAGAGAGAGTTTTGCTCTTGTTACCCAGGCTGGAGTGCAATGGCACGATCTCGGCTCACCGCAACCTCTGCCTCCTGGGTTCAAGCAATTCTCCTGCCTCAGCCTCCCTAGAGGCTGGGATTACAGGCACGTGTCACCATGCCCAGCTAATTTTTTGTATTTTTAGTAGAGATGGGGTTTCACCATTTTGACCAGAATGGTCTCGATCTCTTGACCTCATGATCCACCTGCCTCAGCCTCCTGAATATTATTTTTCTTATCATTATTCCCTAAACAATACTGTATAACAGCTATTCACATAACTGTATAACGATTATTTACATAACATTTATGTTGTCTTAGGTATTATAAGTAATCAAGAAATGATTTAAAGTATACAAGAGAATATATATAGGTTGCATGCAAAGCCTACACCATTTAGTATAAGAGACTTGAGCATCTGTGGATTTTAGTATCAGCATCTCAGAGGGGACATAATTTCATGCTGTGTCCTGGAAACATGGATGCTGAAGAATGAGTGCTTACAGGAGGGGTCTTCAAAAAGTTTATGGAAGATGGTTACTATGAAATAACCATGCACAAATTTCAGCTTAGTTTGCACCAAAATTTGTACTAACTTGTTATAACAGGTCTGAAAAGGATCTAGTTTGAATGATTAAGAAGGATAACACATCAATTTGAAAAAAGTCCCTATCAGAGCAGCATTAATTTTGCTAAAACTGAAGCAAGAACAAACATCAAGTTTGTAGTGAAGCTTAAGTAGAAGAATGGTGAAATCATTGACGTTTTATGAAAAGTTAATAGAGACAATGCCCCAAAGAAATCAGCAGCTCACAAATAGAGAACTTGTTTTAAGAAGAGATGTGATGATGTTGAAGATGCCCACAGCAGCAGACTATACACATCAATTTTTGAGGACAAAAATGAACCTCATAGTGTCCTAAATGAGGGGAATGATTGATTAACAGCAGAAACAACAGCCAACACCACGGACATCTCAATTGTTTCAGCTTACACAACTTTTATGGAAAAATTAAAAGTGAGCAAACTTTCCACTTGATGGATGCCAAACCCATTCTGCCCAGATCAGCTGCAGACAAGAGAAAAGCTTCAATGGAAATTTTAAACAAGTGAGATCAGGATTCTGAAGAATTTTTTCACAGAATTGTAACATTAGCTTTACCAGTATGATCCTGAAGACAAAGCCCCCTTAAAGCAATAGTAACTAATGAGAAAGCCAGATGGGAGGAGCTCCCTGACAAAACTCAGCTGACTTGTGCACTGGGAGGGACACACATACTGGGGTGGAGCCACAGAAGTTCGCGCCCTTTGCAGCACGGAGGAGCCTGCCCCTTCCTCTTCCGGTATGAAACCGGACATTCAAACTGCAAGGGAGGAAGCACTCCAGCAGGGATTCTGTCGTTTTAGAGAGTCCCTGTTTCCACCTTGTATTCCTTTTCACCCAATAAAACCCTGCTTTACTCACCTTTCAAACCGTCTGCAAGCTTAAACTTTTGTGGCTCTGGGACAAGGACCCCGTCTTTGGCTAAACTAAGAAAAAGTCCTGCAACATTTCGGTGCCCAACATGTGGCTCAAGAAGTGGTGAGTGAAATGAGGACCCAGCACCTCTCACTGTGGTTTCTAATCCTTTTCATCCTCAGACTTCTGATCTGTGGGAAACTACACTCAAACCTCCCATCACTCCCAGAAGTTGGGAGCCTTTTCAGGGCCTTTTCTTTCCTTTTTTGGGATGGACCAGTGAGCAGCCCCTCATCACCGCTTCCCCCTCCTGGCCTGGGCTGGGATGCATAGCCATAGGGGCCTGCACAGGGTTTCATCTCCATCGGACGGTAATTAAACTTTTCTCCCTGGTGTAGGAACCGGTTGAATAAGAATAAGAGGTTCTTCCCTCAGGCTTTATTTTCCTTACCACATCAACAGGTAGCTTTTAAAGTTTTATGCTTTTAGAACATGCTTTACTAGAAGAGGAACCCCTAACTGTCACTGTTTATATTCTCTGCAAAGATTTGGTTGTGAAATCAAGCAATCTTGTTTGGCCTGATTTGTATCTCTGGTAGCAAGGTTTTGTTTAGCAATCCTTTCTTACGGAATAAGTTCCTTTCTGGTTTGATATCTGCATGTTTTCCTAACCCTGTCTCCTAAAGAGCCCCACCAGGGAACTGGGTTTTCTCTTGCCTGTCTGTTTGGTTATGTGTGTGTGTACGAGCATGATGTTTGTAAAAACAGCTCTAATTAATTCAGCCTAAAGAAAAACAAATGCTTGGATTAAATATTTTTAAGGGAAGATAAAAGCTTTTGTACCTCTCAGTTCACATGATTTTAATCTTTGAGAAATAATAACAACCTTAAAGATTATTGGTAAAAGGCAGGTGTTACTACGCTGTAAATAGGTGGGCTAAACAATGCAGGTCAGATGCAAGATTTGCTGTGTTTTAAGGTTATAAACTGCTTTTTGGGTTTTGAAAACTATTTGACTTGCTGGCTTCACAATTGGTAAGGCCTGGGGACATATGAAACTAATCACATCCTTAATTAAGAAGACAAATTTTGGCTGCAGTTAGCACACAATTAAAGCAACTTACCAGGTTTTACCTTAAAGTTAACAATTGGTAGATGTTGCCATTATAATGTATAACTGAAACTACTAAAAATAGATTTATATGCAAGGTATCTAAGAACAATAAACTTTTTATAAAAGGTTATAAGAAGGCATGGAAATGTAAATTTTTGCCTAGGGTTAACAGATTATTTTAAATTAGGTGAGATAAAGCTGAAGGTTCAAACTAGTGGTAGGAGGATTGTGGAAATTAGTCTTGCAGAAGAGGTTCTCTGTGTGAATGTATTGACTAAATTCAAAAAGGTATTATGTGGTTTTTCTGTAAATTGAACATTAAAAAAAAAACAACGTTTTCTTAAGGTTGTTATGCTAAGTTGTTATGAACTATGGAGATAACCAAAACTCTTTGTCAATCATGTTTCTATCTGTAACTATGATGGACACTTTGCTATTTACAGATGATTGTTACTTTGTTTTGATCCTTTTCAAAAGATGGTTTATAATGAGCTATAGCACTCTGACAGGTGCTCTTAAATACAATTTCTGATTGTATTTGTGGCAATCAGGTTTCTAATAATGTTAGAGATTGTAACATTGGAATAAAGGAAAATGCACGGGACTCATGAAGAGCTAAAATGCTCACAAATTTCAAGCCAAACAAGAGATTGACTAAATGGACTGAACCTAGAAGGCTGAAGCAAGCTTTTTGACTTTTGCTTGGAATATTGCTGATCCTTGTTTTGTTTTTTAGAGTCAAGGAAACTTATTCAGAACTATTTACTGCTCTTAATAATTAAGCAAGGTATACTTCTGTAATCAGAATTTGGAGCATGTTTGTTTCTCTCTGCCTGGTTCCTCTAGAATTAGAAACTGTTTGTGAGTATTCTTGATATATGGCAATACAGTTGTTTGCATCATTGCAATAAGAATCCATTTTTCTTTTGCAACAAGATACAATTGGAAAAAAAATGTTATTTTACCAAGGCTTTGACTAGAAGGCTATGCTTCCCTTTAAGAAATCAAGCTCTACTTGCAGAGCCAATAAAAGCCTAGTGAGGAGACTGGCCTCATACCTTTGTCGACATAGTTCCTGTACAGGGTTCCTGTCCTGTTTTCAGTAAAGAATGTTACTTTCTAACAGGTCCAATATCTTCAAGTTTATCTTGGGACTTTAAGAGGAAAGGAGACTCTTTGGTATCAAGGCTAATATTAAAATGAAAAGAAAAAGAAAGCACCTTGGTCTTTGCCTTAATCCTGTTGATAGAATGCTCCAAGTTCAGGCACAATTTTAAAAATCTGGCATTTTCTGATTACATGTAATCTTGTTGAGGACCTAGAGTGCGGGAATATTTTATGTGTATCTTTGCCAAAGCTGTAAAATTCCTGCTGTGACTATTCTGAATCCTTCTTTTTTCTGTTGCCACAGTAAATGGTGAAAGGAAGAGGTTTTCATCTCCTTGGAAATTAATACCCATTTGTAGAGAGCATTGTCAGTCTACCTAAAAATTGTCTCCTACTGTTACATAGAAGAACTTTGTAAAATAAACAATTACAGATATTATTATAATAAACTTATGCAGACAATATGAGAATATTCTTTGCTGCTGCATTATCAAGTTCTCAGCTTGAAATTACTGACTAAAATCAACAAAGTTGTTTATTCCATCTCTTTATGGCATGGCTAGTACTATTATTTGTATTTATTGGTCATTTTTATGAATATTATGAATATAGAATATGTTTGTTTGTAAAACAAAGTATTCTTTATTTATTTGGTAAATATTTATAAACATAGGATATGTGAAAAGAACATCCTGAAAATTAAATGCTTTTTAAAAGAGAAAATATTTTCTACTAGAGATTAGCTGGAAAAATGAAATACTGAGTTTTAAACTTGTCAGTATTTTTGAGCATCGTAATCACTCTATAAATATCTCTCTGAAAAGGGAAAATATAAAATCAGAAATGTTAGATTTTAAGCAAAGAAACAGGTTTAATTAAGAAGAAATTTTGAAACAAATCTCACAAGCCTAAAATATCTTTGTTTATTCAGATGTGTTGTACATACCTTCTGTTAACAAAACAAACAGATTAAATGTCCATGTTGCTAGGCAAAGTATGTCTGTTAAATAAAGGTGTTGAAGTAATCTGTTAAATTTAATTCTGAAAGATTAAATAGTAGGTGGCTTATGATGGAAATTCACTTGAAAACATTTCTAAGCATTCTCTTGCTGTCAAATTGTTTTATTTATGCCATGGAGATTTAATCTTTAGAGCTGTGATATTTCCAAAAAATACATACTTTGCTTTGTTTGAGAAAATATTGCATTCTGCCATAATGTGATTTTTATAAAAGTTTAAACAATGTCTTGAAAAAGTCAAGCTAAAAGTTTAAGCCCAAATATCACCATGAATTTTATTTATAATTTGACAGGTGCCTACAGTATTCAAAGTCTAAACATGTAATAGGTACAGCAGGACCTTGAATAACATTGTTTTCATCCAATGTTTTTTCATTATAATGTAAATTAGATAAAGAAAACTCATCACTTCCCAGTCAGGGCCACTGTCTATGTGGGGTCTGCATGCTCTCCCCAAGCCTGCCTAGGTTTTCTCCAGGTCCTCTGATTTCCTCCCACATCCAGAAGACGTGTGTGTTAGGTTTATCAGCACATCTACAGGGTTCCAGTGTGAGTGAGAGTGATGTGGGTATGAATGTGTCCTATTATGGGGTGGCATCCTGCCCAGGGCATTTTCCTGCCTGGCATCCTGAGCTGCAGGGATAGGCTCTGGCTAACCCTGAACTGGAATAATTGGGTAAATCATGATCTTACTTGTTTTTATTAATCTTTCTTAAATGTATGTATAGTTCACATTTGTTTCAATGTTAGAAGTGTTTTGGTCTTTATTTAGAAGTTTGGTGATGTTTATGTGACCAGAAATATGCCATAGGAATTTCACTTTTCTTTGGATCAATTAAACTGTGGTCAAATTGGTTTCCTTATAGTTATTCTGCTTAAAGTAACAGTTTCTAAGAACCTGTAGACAACATTCAGTGAGGACTTACTGTAGTTGATACAGTGTATCTGATGCTTCAAAGGGAAGCCAAGGTTGGACACACAGATTTTGGAGTTATCTGAACTGAGTACATAAGTGACTGAATTTGTCAAGTCAAAAAGTGTAGCAGAGAAGAGTTCATGGCCAAGGAGAAAATTTTATTCCTGTTTCTTCCTTTCGGTATATGGTTGTATTATATTGTAAATTTAAACATACTCAATTAATAGTTTCTTTAAGATGAATTTGGAGCGACTGAAAACCAATTTAGATTATGTATATTCTGTAGTCACACAACAGTGTTACAAATATTTAGACTGAAAGACAGTTCCAAGTTTAATCATTATGTGGATTAAAATTTGTTACTTGGGGCTTTATCTTTGCTTTGTGTAATTTTTAAAATGAAAATCACTTATATGTCCATTTTTATTTACTTAGAAAAGCATGCATAATTGGGGTATAATTTCAGATGAGTGTTAAAGAAAAAATGTGTTTAGTATACATATTTTAAATAATAGTCATAATGATACAGTGACACACAGAAAAGCTGCAAGCCTATTAAGAGTCAGAGGAGAATCTGAGGTTGTAAAAATACATAAATGATGTGTGTATTTAAGTTAACAGCAAAGGGGTGAATTTTTATTATGAAGAGGAGGTCATCCTGGGACCTCTCATCCTACAGGGAGTGCTCCAGGAATGTGAAAGTGCCCAAGTCCTTTTAACGCTTAGTCTTGAAATTGACATACTGCTGCTTCCACAGCATTTGACTGGTCAAAGCAAGTCTGAATCAAGAGGTGGAGAAACATATTCTATCTGTTAATGGGAGGAGCTGCAAAGTCACATTTCAAAGAATGTTTGTATAAACAGGGATGAAAATTTTGGCCAATTTCATGTACATCTACCACATGAAGATTCTATTAAAGAAAAAAAATAAAAAGAGATTAAAAACACATTGATTAGTGTCTCCCAAACTTTAATATGAAAAGGAACTATTTTGGATATTTATTAAAATTCAAATCCATAGGCCATATCCCATAATATGATAGTAAGTCTAGATCTAGTTTTCCAGAATCTTAAATAAAGATATTCATCTCCATAGTGATTTTGATAGAGGTGGTCTAATGACTCTCCAGTGATGGAGAGGAAGAACCTTTATACTGGAGTAATGAAGAGTGAGTTATTACAGGAAAAAATAGTTAAGCAGGTGAAAACTGCTCAAATTTTATCCCCTTCATTTGTTACTACAGATTGAGTATTTCTTATCCAAAATGCTTGACACCAGAAATGGTTTTGGACTTCAGATGTTGCATATTCATAATGAAATACCTTAAAAATGAGACCCAAGTCTAAACACAAAGTTCATTTATGTTTTATATATATCTTACACACATAGCCTAAAGATAATTTAATATGATATTTTAAAATAATTTTGTGCATGAAGCAAAGTTAATGTACATTGGACCATCAGTAAAGATATCAGTTATCTCAGTGCCCCATGTGGACACTGTGGTTGTTTGGCATCATCATCAGTCCTGACTCTGAATTTGCTGAATATGCTACAGATAAACATTTTCTTAAATTTTGCATAAGTACATAGCAGTACAAAATGGCATATCATTATAAAAGTGAAAATATAATGTGTTCAGCAGTGCAGTGGCATCTGTAGAATACTTGTATTACCTGTTAAACAGCAGCAACAGTAGGCTGAAGAAACTGTGTTGTACACCTGCATTTTGACTGTAACCCATCACATGAGGTCAGGTGTGGAATTCTCCACTTGTGGCATCATATCGATGCTCAAAACGTTTCAGATTTTGGAGCAATTTGGAATTTGGATTTTCAAATTAGAGACACTTAACCTGTACTGTAGCTTTTAGTGTTCAAAGGGCTTCCACATACATTCCAAGACCCAACAAACTTGTAAAGTAGGAATGGGATATATATTGTCACAGCTATTGAATGGAATATATGGGATGTACATATCAGTCTTTTATCATATAATGCAGTTTTCTGATCAGTTTTATTTATGTGATTCAGTTGAGCAAATAAAGATGGTAAATCTAAAAACAACCTATTTATTTATTCAGAGTTTGGCTCAGCATGTAAGCATTTGGGATGGAAAAATTGTGCTCATTGAAAGTTAATTTGGAAAGAAAGGATTTTTCCAATTTTTTTAAAAAAGGAAAAAAGTTAAATATTGTCAGTGTCATTAATTCAGCCATGAAGAAAAATGGAGAGGTAGTGATATTAGCAAGCTACAATGTTCAAAAAATATATTATAGTAGTAATGTTCTCTTATCAAACTTTTGCCAAGCTTTCATGACAATAAATTAAACTTTAGTTATCATTAAGAAAATAATTGAATCAAATAATTTCAGGGTGTAGGACTAAAATTGAGAGGTGCATTATGAGATGATCAGGTAAATATCACATTTATGTATGAAGAGGTAACTAAAGCACTAAAGGAATCTTCTAAGAAAGTAGAATAAATTTAAATACATCACAGAAAATACCAAATATTATTTGAAGCTGGAATGTTGGTGAGTTTCTAAAGGATTCAAAATTTTTATTTTTGGTATATAATTATATATTTTAAATCTATATTTCATTTTGAGTTAATACTTGTATATAGTGTGAGGTATGTGTTAAAGTTTTTGTTACGCCATTATTTTGTTTTGTGCTATGGTTTGACTGCGTCTCCCAAATTTGATGTTTTGGAAACATAATCCTCAAATTTGTGTGTTGATTTGTGGTGAGGCCATTGGGAGGTAACTAGGGTTACATAAGGTCATGAAGGTGGGGCTCTCCTGATGGGACCAGTGGCTTTACAAGAGGTAGACCTGAGCTGATACACACAGTCCCACTATCATGCCTTGCGTGATGCCCTTTGCCATGTTATCATGCACTAAGAAGGCCCTCACCAGTCACCTGTGCCATACTCTTGAACCTTACAGATCCCATAACTGTAAAAAATAATTTTTTGAAATAAATTACTCACTATGGTATTCTGTTGAAGAAACAGAAAACAAAGTAAGATATTTTATTTCATTTTTAATTTTCTTTCAGCATAATTTTATTCACTTGTTTAGTACTATTTGTTGAAAGATTATCCTTTATCCACTAAATTGCCTTTGGACCTTTGTTGAAAATCACTACACATATGTGAAGGCCTTTTTTTGAGTTCTGCACCATTAACTAATTTGTGTATCTTTATGTCAGTACCTCACATTTTTCATTACTATAGTTTCTAGTTTGCTGAGAGTTTAAATTGGAAATGACTACCAGATTTCATCCAGTGCTTTTTATAAATATTTTCAGGATACATACATATATATTATTTTAATTTAAAAATCTTGTTATGGTGCAATGCATTAACTTGTTTTCAAATTTTGAACCATTATAATTTGTAGAAAATAAGGCAAATGATATTATTTTGTTAGCAAAAAATTAGTGAAATATGGTTAATTATGTTCATATAACAGAAGCTCAGTAGGGTATGTGCCTACCTCATACTATTTAAAATAAATTTTAGAGCATTTTGAATACTTTTGACTTTGCTTTATTATTTATAGCAACCAAGTACTTAAAATGCAGGTCAACATGGTTAACAAGTTTGCTATCTGAAACAATATTTTGAATAGATGTATATGTACATATTTGTGAATATATTTTCTATTCAATCTAGTTAAAATTATTGTTGTTGTTTTATACCCTACAGAGAACTTTATTAATCTTACCTAAAATTTTTGTAACACAGATTCAATTTAGGCAATATGTTTCATAGTTCTGCTAAAGACAAATACAGAAATTATAATCAGAAGGCTTAATCAACTGTGGCAAAATACAAATGAGGCAAAACCATAGTACATTTATTTAATTATCTAAATTTGCAAAAACTTTTCCTCAATGTTTAAAGAAAAACAACCCAATTAAATCAGACTAAGGATAAACAGACTTCTCAGCAGAGATACTTCAGCTGAGCTAGTATAAGATGCTGCCCATTAGGAAGTGGTCTCTTACAGATATGGATTTCATTATTCTTTTCTACATTGTGTAACTGAGTTAGAAAATATAACTCAGCATCTTATACTCTTTGTAATGAAATATTTTTCATTCTATTTGTGTCCTCCAGATAATGCAACAGTATGTTTGTTATAAGAGTAAATATAATTTTTGTTATTTCTTTTTGTAAAAAGAAATTAATAGTTAATCATAATTAACTCATCAATTAATAGTTAATCATAACTGATTTATACAGCTGAGAAAACAGAAGTGGTTAATTGAAATGTTGACATATGGCACAAAAACATTTTAATATCATCTAGCCATTATAAAATGATGTTTCCATTGTTAGATTTATGAATTTGAAAAATGCAATTGAAGTGTGTGAGAATGGTAAAATGAGATTTTTATTAAAAAATTGATGGGCATTATTTTTAAAAAGTATCCTTTTCTTGAGAAAGATTTTCATACTCCTTATTAAGCAGTTGAATCAAGAAACATGATTATAAGAGTATAATGTGCATCTTCCAGAATATTTGCCCATTGGTTTATACATTTTCTTATGTTTACAGAGAATATCTTTCTTGTGAGTTCTTTATAAGATAAGCAATAAGTAGAATAAAAAGTGATTAAGAAATTTGTTTTGACCGAGAGTGGTGGCTCAAGCCTGTAATCCCAGCACTTTAGGAGGCCAAAGTGAGTGAATTGCTTGAGTTTAGGAGTTCAAGAGCAGTCTGGGCAACATGGTGGAACCCCTACTCTACAAAAAATTCAAAAAAATAGCTGGATGTGGTGGTTTGCATCTGTAGTCCTAGCTACATTGAAGGCTGAGGTAGGAAGAAGGTTTGAGCCTGGGAGGTGGTGGTTGCAGTGAGCTGAGATTGTGCCACTGCATGCTAGCCTGGGCAACAGAGCCAGGCCCTATGTCAAAATAAATAAATAATAATACAATGAATTTATTCTAATAACATAAATTAGTATCTAAATCTATAAAATTGGAATCACAAAGTTATGCTGTTACAGAGTCCACACAATGCAGACCCCCAAATAAAAAGCAGAAAGCCTTACCAATATTTCTTAGCCTCATCCTTATATCCTTTGTGCTAGAAATTTGACTTGTGCTCACTTCAATTTTAGCCCAGTGTCTTTGTTCATTCACTCATTTGTTTAGTGAGTAAATCAGAGTCAGACACTAAAATAAAATAACATTTATTTTACAGATGCTGACAAATCCTCAACCGTATGTCAGAATCCATGTTAGATACTAGGGATACGAAGAGATGTCTTCCATCCCCAGAAAGGAGACAGACAAAGGAACTGATAGTTGAAACAGCATATGTGGAGTTGTTCAGCGTGTCATGGGAGCACATACAGGTAAAATTAACTTAGTGATATTGGAGGCAGGATTGCAAGTGAGAAGTAATGCTTGAGTGGTCTTGATAGACAAGTAAGAAATTAGTTTGGTGAGGAAAGTCAGATCTCTCATGGGAAAAACAGCTTGTTTTTCAGTAGCATGAAAGCCCCCGAGAACAGGATGTACTTCAAGAACACAAAGTAGTCCCATAGAGGGGTGTGCGTGTTGACAGAAAATAGAATGGATGTAATAAACCTGAGTCAAACATGAATGTTATTCAAAGAAACTTGACTTTACTTAAAAAATAGAATGTCAAAATTATCTGTAAGTAGATTATTTTTTTATGATCAATTACCAAGTTTTAGGTAGGAAAGAGACAGCATTGACTTACGTATTTCTGATGTAGATAACAAATATGGTTTGGAAGACATGATGTTGGATTCAAGATTGTTTAAATTAACTTGAGGTAAAAAGCAGTTTGTTCTGAGCCTTTCTCTAGAGGGAGCATATGGTTTTCTTATGTGTTTTATTTTGTAGTAGTAGTGCCCTTATGATTGTCTTGTCATATCTTTCCCAACTTGTTGGATTTTTAGGTTGTGCTGTATCATTCTTTAACAGAATAAAGGTTGTTTGAAAGATTGAGTGAAAACACAAACTACTTGAATTTTCAGTCAAGGGGAATAAAAACCAAGTGAAAGATTTTCGGGATGGGAAGCACTGTTTTGAGTGACATCTAGGACTGCTTTATTAATGAAAATACGTATCAAGTGGCTTGTGTGTGTGTGTGTGTGTCTGTCTATATCATTCAAGTGCCTGGAACACAGTGGTGAGAAATGATTTTTGGTTTCATGGAGCTTACAGTAGGGTGGATAAATAGACTTTAACCAGATGCTTTTATAAATACAGTTGATCTTTATTATTTGTAGATTCCATATTTGCAAATTTGCCTGAGTGCTAAAATTTATTTATAATCCAAAGATCAATATTCACTGTACTTTTGCAATTATTTACGGACATGTACAGAGAGCAAAAATGTTGGTGGCTGCTATGCACACTCCAGGCTGATGTCAAACAAGGTGACACTCTGAGTAAGCATCTTGTTTCAACCCTGTATAAACCAGTGTTCTTTTTGTGGCCTATTTTGTGAACATTTTTTGCATTTTGTGCTTTTTCTTTTTTGGTGATATTGTTTAAAACAGTGCCTAACCCTAGGGCTGAAGTGCTGTCTAATGTTTCTAAGCACAAGAAGGCCATGTTGTACCTTAGGGAGAAAAATCCAAGTGTTAGGTGAGCTTTGTTCAGGCATGAGTAAAAGTACCAATGTGATCTCAATGTCAGTGAATCACCAGCACATATTAAATAAGGTGATGTTACCCAGTAACACACACACAAAAGGCTATGTATTGATCATTTGACAAAAATTTGACCAGAGGCTCCCAGGAACCTAACCCTGTATTTCTCCTAGGAGCAATTATTCAGTATTCACTAACTCAGTGTTGGTGGCAATTTCACAGACCATAACCACCATGGATAATGGGAACTGACTATACATATAAAATTACAATTAAAGTAAGTGCTTTTCAGAATAAGCAGTTGGTATTAGGTAAGTGTATGTTTTTGTTTATGAAGAGGCAGATATAGCATTGAGTTAGGTTGTCCAGGAACATATTCCTGAGGACATGGTGTGGTGTTCAAGTATAAAAGTAGGATAGGCCGGGCGCGGTGGCTCAAGCCTGTAATCCCAGCACTTTGGGAGGCCGAGGCGGGTGGATCACAAGGTCGAGAGATCGAGACCAACCTGGTCAACATGGTGAAACCCCGTCTCTACTAAAATACAAAAAATTAGCTGGGCATGGTGGCGCGTGCCTGTAATCCCAGCTACTCAGGAGGCTGAGGCAGGAGAATTGCCTGAACCCAGGAGGCGGAGGTTGCGGTGAGCCGAGATCGCGCCATTGCACTCCAGCCTGGGTAACAAGAGCGAAACTCCGTCTCAAAAAAAAAAAAAAAAAAAAAAAAAGTAGGATAGGTTTTAATAAGATTAAAAGAGAGTGGATGTGTCATCCCAGAACTATAAGACAGACTCCTTGGACAGAAAGCATGGTTTTTATCAAGGATCTGAAGGAAGCCACTGTCACTAGAGCTTAGCGTTGAGCCATCATCTTCCATAGAGGTCCAGAGTATGCAAAAACTTATAGATCCTCAGTCTAACTACTAAAAAGCCATTGAGGGGGCAAGTGGTGGCAATGATAAACATAAAAATTATTAGTTTTTATTTTTGGAAAATTTTTATCTAGCAAAGAATAACTCAGAGATGACAGCTTAGACAGCAGTGATGGCAGAAGAGAGAAAGAGAGGAGATTAACCCTATATTTAAGGCAGTTGAAGGAAATGAAATGGTGTTTCCCTGACTGGACAGACTAACCAAAGATAAAATAAGGCCAGTGACTAAATTGAACAGTTTGACTCAAGGTGACAAAGTGCCAAGCTATTGTAACATAAATGAGAAGAACAAAGATAAATCATTTTTCATATTTTAATCTCATTTGGCGAACAAATCCACTTTATATTCAGAAAGTAGGAAACCACATTTCTTTTTTTCAGGAGTGAAATGAGGGTTAATCCACAGGAGAATAAACAATTATGGCTTCATAGCATACAAGATTACTTTTCTTTCATGGATAGAATATAATTAAATGAAGCAGTTTTTAATGGAAAGAGTGGAAAACTTTTATTTGCCTAATCTATGGAGGTAGCAAGAATTGTTGGTTTAATCCTATTTTAGGATATCATATGCATATTATCACTTCTTTTTGATTTTTTTTCACAAAGACAAATACCTTTTTTGATAAATTATTATTTTTGCTTTCTGAGATTCTTGGTTATATATTATGGCTTTTAAATAAATATTTGCATGATTCAGAGCAGGTTGATTTTTTGACTTGGAGACTAATCATCTGAGAATGATTTTTCAAAACCATGAATTTATATAGTCAAAAAGTTCTTTAAAGCTTACCAAAGGCAAATCTTCAATTTTAGGGAGGAGTAATCCATACTGCACAGCTCCTGTAGATCTCTCCCGCTTCTGAAACCAGACACTTCTACAATAGGTGGTTTTCAGGAGCCACCTTATTAAGTTAAAGCACCCGACTGAGTCATCATCCTCATAAAAATTTATAATGTAATATTTGCTTTACTCCTTGTGGGATCAGCACTTAGATATATACTCACTGATGATTCTCAGTATGTATACAAAGGCAGTTTTCTGAAAACTACTACATTTCTGAGCCATAAAATAAAGAGGCAGAATAAGTGTAGGTGGCCTTTATTTATCTAAAGTGCTGTGCAACTTCGGCATGTTTTAAATGTCTGCTTTCAGAAATTTCTGTTTCAAATATCATGCTTTAGCTATGCTGGTGATGAGAAAAGGAGGTTCTGCTTTTTGTCATGGTGTGATGGATGCTGATTTTCTCGAGTGCAGGTGATATTTTTCAGAGGAGAGTCAATTATTTGCATAATAGTCTTTGCAAAGCACTCTGCCCTTCTTTGAGATGAAGAATATTTCAAATATTGTACAATTAACTGTTATCAGCTACTGTGTTGTGATTCATTCTCTCTGGAAGAATATATAACAAGGACATAGAAATAATTCCTGAAACAGTTCAAAGGTTTGAGATGCAATAAGGAATTCAAATACAAATCCCAAAGTGGGAAATTGACTTTGTCAACTGAAAAAGTAAATCATAGAGGTAGGGAAAGTTATTTTAGAAAAAAAAATGAAAGCAAGAGAAAGGAGGGAAGTGTAGTACTTTCTTCACCTTTACAAGAGACACAGTTGAATATCAGTTACACCAGCTTTATCTTTTCTTTGCTTCAGAAATCTTCAATATCAACACTTTAAAAAAGCCTAAAAGTCAACTTCAGAGGAGCTATTTAAATAGAGCTGATAAGCATTATAATGGGCTGCTGAATCCAGAAGCAAGTCAGATTTCATGTGAAGTTTATAGTTTTTCTTTGCTGGTTGGATTTTCAAATCACATTCTATCTTTATAACAGCCTTTAAACTGCTATATTCCAGGTTCCTTCATCTCTTCTACTTCAGATCTTCTACACTTGACCCTGAAACTTAATTCTCATATGCAGTTGGAGTGTTTTAGTACCTCTGTGGTATTATTTGAAAAAATTGGAATAATAGATGAAATTTTAGGTCTGGAGTTCATATGCCATAAGATTCAGTCTTAGAGAGTGTGTTTAAATTAAAAGTGCTTTCTACATATCCCATAGAAGCACTCCCAAGAGGGAAGTATCTTAACCATGGATAATCATTAATGCATATATATGCACTAATTTGTCAACTACCCTTTAAAGGGACATTCAGTGACAAAAGAAACTAACCAGAAATCACCTCTTTACTTCTAATTTGTTTATGTTAATGGCAATAATGCTGCCTTGTCTTTTAGTCTCCATTCCTCCCACACTACAATTGTAGGTTTTTTTCCAAATTAATGTATCATAATGTGTTTTCAAATACCATAAATCTTGTCTTCAGCAGTGCATATAATTAAGTAGAATTACTTTCTATAAGCTGATATCACTGAATGTGAAGACAATGACAAAATACTTTCTATCTTGTACTAGCCGTGTGTGGATCTTACAGCGAACTTTTCTCTGGATAGTCCATGGTATTTTTTGGCCTTAAGTAAGTGAAAAAGGGACTTTTGATCTTCTTCTTTAGCCTATAAACTTTTCATAGGTGGAGACTCTGCAGATTACTGAATTAACTCATTTATACTTTAACATTTCAAATTTTCATAAAGTATTGGATGTGCATGGCTAAAAAAATCAAATAGTAGAGAAAGTCATATCTGTTAGTAATGTTTACAAATGTGAGTAACACACAACCAACTAACTATCAGAGGTTTAAACCATAGAGATATTTTTTTCTTCCTATACTGAGGACTCAAGATAAATAAGCATGAGGTTGGACTGGTGGCTCTATACAGCTGTCAGACCCAGATTCTCT